GAAAAAAAAATTCATGCTAAACATCTAAGTTCTAGCTCATTGGGTTTTTTAAAAGAAGATTTTTTTTTTTTACTATACACATATAGTTAAAACAATGACACCCTGGGGCAGGGCCAGTTTTGACCCCCGGGCTTTTATTTGAACAAACTTTGTAGATATTTACTTAAAGATGTTTCATGCTTAATATCTAAACTCAAGCTATTTGGGTTTTTTTCAAAGAAGATTTTTAAGTTTTTGCTATACACATATAAGGAAAATCAATGACCCCCGGGGCAGGGCCAGTTTTGACCCCAGGGCTTTTATTTGAACATACTTGGTAGACACCCATTAGAACATGTTTCATGCTAAATATCTTAGCTCTAGCTCTTTGAGTTCTTTAAAAGAAGATTTTTTAAGTTTTTACTATATGCATATAGGGAAAATCAATGACCCCCTGGGCGGGGCCAATTTTGACCCCAGGGCTTTTATTTGAACAAACTTGTAGACACTCATTAGAAGATGTTTCATGCTAAAATATCTTAGCTCTAGCTCTTTGGGTTCTTTAAAAGAAGATTTTTTAAGTTTTTACTATATGCATATAGGGAAAATCTATGACCCCCTGGGACCGGGCCAATTTTGACCCCAGGGCTTTTATTTGAACAAACTTGGTAGACATTCACTAGAAGATGTTTCATGCCAAATATCTAAGCTCTAGCTTTTACAGTTCTTTAAAAGAAGATTTTTTAAGTTTTTACTATATGCATATAGGGAAAATCAATGACCCCCCGGGCCGGGGCCAATTTTGACCCCAGGGCTTTTATTTGAACAAACTTGGTAAACACTCATTAGAAGATGTTTCATGCCAAATATCTAAGCTCTAGCTCTTACGGTTCTTTAAAAGAAGATATTCAAAGATTTTTCTTTCGGTTGCCATGGCAACCAGAGTTCTGCATGAAATGGAATTCTTTGAACAATCTTGATAGAGCTTCATACAAAGAGTATTCCTGCCAAGTTTCATTAACATTGGCCTTGCGGTATCATAGAAGATGTCCTTAGAATATTTAAAGTGTGGACGGACGACAGACGACGGACGCCATTTGGTTGGCCATCCTAAAAGCTCACCTGCACTTTGTGCAAGGTGAGCTAAAAATGCATGCTAATTCTATGACATTCAAAGCGGGCACAACAAACATATGATAAAATGGTGTGAAACTTACAATATGATTTATAGTAGCTCTAATTACGTTGATTTTGTTTCTTTTCTTTTCTAATGTTTGTAAATATCTTCGGAACATACATGGTATAACTTCTGAGGACCTGAAAATGAGAATAGTTCCAAAATGATATACTATAGGTGTTAAAAAATGTTTTTAACTTTTGTTGGATATAATGCAAATATGAGATATGGGGGATATTTGTTTATGTTGAATATGCACTAACTCTCACTAAGAAATTCATTTTTTTTAGTTACTGAGAATGACTGAAAAATATATAAAGAAAGAGTAATGGCAAAACCAGGTTTTCAAGAATGCAGGGTCCATGTTCTACAACATGAAAATAAATTTTCATGTTTGATCATGCCGGTAAATGACAAAGTTCTCTTACTGTAATTAATTAACATAAAGGTTTGGTGATAAATGTTGTTTTGTCTATGTATGAATTAAATCAAACTGCAAATAAAAGCAAAGTAAAACGGTGTGTGTATTTTAGTTTATTTATACTCGCCACCAGTTGCCCATATTGGCAGGTCGTCCAGAAGAGTATTAGTCATTTTATATTTTGGAGGATAGTGCAAGATACAGAAAGATGCCCCAATTCCAGAAGCTTCTCCTGGTTCCTTAACGTTCCAAGTGTTCAAGCACTCATACACGGGACCTCGATTTAAAGTCTCATCCAAAGACTGATTAGTAATTTTAGTTGGCCAGCCTGGGAATCGAACCCACAATGTTGAGATTACAAGTCTCGCGCTCTAACCAATTGAGCTATGGAAAAGGATATTTATGTTTATCTTAATCAAAAATTGAAACTGATACTAGATGTATAATGTTTATAATTCAACAGAAAAAATATACTTGTTGCAATAATGCATAATGGCAACATAGGATTATGTTTAGCAATGCAAATCTGTTAATCATAAAATACATCACATGTAAACATGTTAGTTAAAAGTCTGAAAAAAATGTTCCTAATGTCATAAACTGCCCAAATGTATATAAACTTTCTGCACATATTTGTCTTGATGTATGTATCTAAAAGCAACAGCTGAAAAATTCCCCCCCAAAAAAACCCATAATTTCTGTAAACAATGGAAGCTAACAACCCTTGTTTTGTGGGAACTGTATATATGAGACAAGAACTGTGAGTCCCATTAAAGATCCTGTAACTAATTTTCCTATGGTTTTATATCATTAATATAATGCTCAAATAAAGATTAATCAATATTGTAAGTTCCAAAAAGCATTATTTGTAAAGATGTTACCAAATTTACATTTCATGTTAACAAAGGGAGGTAATTAGAAATTTATTTTCTATAAAGTCTAAGTCAAATTTTTCAATAAGAAATGAATGCATATATTTTAATGATGACAATGGTGACATATAATGTGGACAAATATTTGCAGTACATATTTTACATATTCTTAAGTGTTTGAAAATCGTTTTAGAATCATAATTATATAAAACTGCACTTAAGTGTGGTAATAAGTTTAATTACAACATACATGATCTTTAAATAATTAAGTAATGACTGTTTGCCTGGGCAGCGTTTTACTAACATTGCGTAAGTTTTTTGAGAGTATTTTCGTAACTTTACCCTTGCGTTTAAACTTATGCAAATCGTAAGTGTGTTTCACAAAACTTATGTAAGTTTTTTTTAAAACTTCAATAAAAATGTTAAGCCACATTAACCTTTTCTTACATAGACTTTACTTTTCTAGAGCCGCTTTCACCATCTTAATATATTACCAATCACATCAGTCTCTAAAATTTTCGCTTTCCTGCTCTGCCATTATTCATAAATGATGTCAGTTTTACTTACATAAGTTTTAAGTCAACAAATTTTAAGCGTAACTTCAAAAACTAAACAATAGCTTTCTTTACTTAACCCTAGCTTCATAAACTTAACTTCTGCAAATCTGACTATAGCATAAGTGCCATAATAATCCACTTCCTCCAACTTTGCTTCTGCCTTTATATAAACTATATACTACTAATATGTTTAGAAAGGACTGTCAAATAACCAACATAAGTGTGTTATGACGACCAGCTATGGATCAGTGACACAGCACTCGCTTCTGCGCTATGTCTGTACAGGATCTCATGCTTTCGCTATCAGTCTTCTCTACGGTAGTAATAGGCGTGCCTTGTATAGCGGAACATGTTCATTGGATCCTGTTGTTCAGTCAAGTACTGGGGCTAACGGTATGCCCTGGCTGGTCTGGATCCATGCTGGTCGCAAACATACTATGATGGTTTTGTCATGGCGTGGCTCATTTAAATTTAAATCCCGTTCATGCTCAAAGGGTTAACTTACTTATTATCTTTGAATGTCAGTATATGTCCAACTCTCAGAAATACTAAAACAAAAAAAAAACATGAATCAAATACACACCACTCTCTGATTGATATTGAAATTAATATATATATATATATATATATTTATAAAATACACATAAAATATATATATTTATAAAATACACAGGCATACCATTATAAAGGTCGAGTTTCGGTCCAAACTCTCAAACCATGATATAAACAGGAATCTGACATATAAGGTTCATCAGTCGAGTGCTTAACACATCAGACTAGCAAGCTAAGTATAGCCGAGTACTCTCAGGACTGCTGGCCTTGTGGGTTCACACCCCAACAAGGGCAAGTTGTTGTTTCGATACATAATTGTAATAATACCAAAGCTTCTGTAAACAAACATTGTGCATTCTGCATAGTATTCACTTTAAGCACAGACAGGATAAACAAGTTGAACCATTATCGATATGTGGCTTAAAGAAAATTAATACTAAGAATAAAGTTTTAGGAGTGCATTTCAGAAATTGTCCAACTGTTTTATGTCAGTAGAATTAACAATTATTTACTGAATAAGTGGATATTTCCGCAAAAAAGTTACCAAATTTAAAATTCAAGACATTTTGTGCAAGGCTATATAAGGAAAATGTGCAAGTATAGAAATTATTGTAAGGTTGGTTAACATTTATACTAGAGAAAATTTTAGTGATTTTCTGATTTTCGCAAAATTACCCAATATTTCTGTGTTGCTAACTTAACAACTTATACAGTAATGGACAAAACTATAATGTTAATACTCTGGAAGAGTAATGCTTACCAACTCCGCACATATACGCGTCAAAACCTGCTTCATGTGGTAACTCATCAGATTCTGAAGAAAAGCATCAAAACAAACTAAACATTAGCTAGAACAGATTGTAACAAATAAACTACAATAAAATAATTTGTCTATTTTACTATTGTCATGATTAAGTTGACTGTATAATAATAACAATACCCAATAGATGTTACCCGGAGCTCATCAAATGTGGATTTTGTCCCATTCTTTGATTACTTATCCAAAGCTCTCTCTTATATAATTAAGCAGAGCAGACAGACCAATTGTTTGTTTAAAAAAAAATATATATTTTATACACTCACTATATCTGTCAAATCCCTCGGCATGGTTAACAACAGGTGAATGTAACACTATCGTTTGTCCTTTCTCGCTATAAATAACACATTAAAATAATATAATTATGACCAAAATCAATACAAAGATAACCCTGAATATAGCATTTTTCATCACTTCAAGATAAATAATAAGATGGGCTTAAGTAATCAATTGTAAAGAAATTGTATAAATTTTGTACCTTAACATAAATTTTTCAACTTTTATTTGTTTGTTTAATTGGTACCATTAACTCTGTAATAATTTCATAATGAGGTTTTAGTCACAAAGATACTGCTAAGGTTATACAGTCGACTCCACTTATAACGAACTCGCTTATAACAAATTATCGTTAATAGAAAACTAAATATGACATCCCCGGCCAATTCCTTCTTCATTTTGTATTAAATCACATCGCTTAATACATACTCGCTCATAACGAATTTTCGGCTATAACGAACCATTTTTTCAAGCCCCAAATGACGGAAAACATTTATATTTCCTCGGTTATAACAAACTGTTATAATTAAAATATCCGGATGCGCTCAATAAGGATCAGTACATGAATAACGCTATCCGATAATTAAACAATCAAATGATTGTACAGGTTAGTTATGGCTTCAGAGAATAAAGATTTTGATAAACAGTTCTCACAACATAATTTCCTACTTGTTACGGAAAATTTGTATTTCACACCCTCAGCTGATTGCTGTAAATACCCGATAATTTCCAAATCATCGATTTTTTGTGTTTGCAATATTAACCAAACGATAATAAACAAATAGCAAAAGAAAACAAATGGTAAGAACTTTATAGACAATTAATACATGAATAAATATATGCACCATGTACATAATATATTGCTCAATAAAATGCCCGCATTAAATAACTGCTGCAGTAAAATACCAGTTACACCGGTAACCAGTGAAGAGTATGGCTTTTTCAAGGCAAATTTCCCCATCCAAACAAGTCAGAAAGTTGTTGCTACTTCGCTTTTAGCGAACTTCGGATATAACAAACGATATTTTGATGTCCCATTGAGTTCGTTATAACCGGAGTCGACTGTAATTTTATATGGTCAATTTCCACCTCAACTAGTGACGCAAGCTTTCAAATGCACCTCCATGCTTAATTAAAAACACAACCAGGCATCCGGTAGGACCACCAGCCTTCCATTACCTAGCACGATAGATTCCTCACATGAAAACAAGAATTGTTTACTAAAAATAAAACCTATAAAGAAATCAAAGATGATCAACTGATTTACCTTTCTAAATCTGTATAAAGTTCACCTAAGCTTGTTTGTTGCAGCATCCCAGTCTGTGCCATATCCTGTACAATATATTATTCCACACCTTATAAATTATAACCAATGAACATTCAGGGTTTGCAACACATGTTGTTTCAATAGAAATCATTATTGGATGCAATCTTATCAATTTGACATATTTTCATTTTCAAGTCCATATCAAATGCATATCGTACCCTACTTTGCATCATTTTTATTTGCTAAGTCCAAAAAGTCTATTTTAAATGAACATGATACTCGATCCAATTTCCTTTTCATTTTTGAGAGTCCAAAAATCCATATCAAATCCTTATTGTAGTAGTCTTTCAGTAACAAGTTCTGTAAAAATGTCAAATGTGGTGTGAAATAAGGAAGTTATAATACATTGATAAGAACAATGCAGATTCTATTGGACTCATACACAATTGCAAAACATGTGTCATACTTGGCTAGCACCTTATCAAGTTTTGTTTTGACATCTTGATACAAAAATTTTCCACCAATGATGGCTACAATTTTATCTTATTCTGTATTGTTTGAGTTTTGCTTTTAGTGTTTTGGTCACAGGCGATATATATTTCCCAGTATAGCATAGAATTATGCAGAATGGATTGACTATATCATAAGATCTTGAAAATCTTTAATCTCTTGTGCCCTTTATTTTGCAGTTTCTTTCAATATACAGGGCAGTAACAAAACTATAACACATGAATTTTACTGGTCCAGTGCGATATGAATTATATTTCACTAATAAAAGTTTTGATAACATTCAGAACACATACACAAATTTACCACCAAAAAAGTATTCTACATGTTAAAATGAAAGGTATCTTGAAAACAAAGAACATTACTTACCCGTCTCATACTTAAAACTATATGCTTAGTGTCAAACACAGTTGGGAAAAGTGAATGAAGATTTGTCTTAAATTCTGTATATGACTGAGGTAGAGGGTTGTAAAATTTATCATAAATCAGCATCAAGTCCATCAAACAGTTATGTCCTAGCAGTGGCTGGAAATATAAAACATACAGAAACACCAGTTATAGCTGAAACTAACAAAAAGATTGATGAAACTAACGAAAAGATTGATGAAACTAACGAAAAGATTGATGAAACTAACAAAAAGATTGATGAAATGAAACTAACAAAAAGATTGATGAAATTAACAAAAAGATTGATGAAACTAACAAAAAGATTGATTAAACTAACAAAAAGATAAATGAAACTATCAAAGATTGATTAAAACAGAAAAAAAGAGACAAATATTTTTCGAGAATATTATTACATATATGTAACTTGTGAGTGCAATGTAGATCAAACACTCACTTCATTTTTTCAACAATAATTATTTCAATGCTTTTTATTCCAATCGGGCTAAGAATATCATAAATATGTTATTTTCAATATTTTTCTGAGCATTGTTCTGTACTTTCTTCTGCACATCTTTCTGCTTTAAGTGCCCCAGCTGATAAATGCATTCAGACTTTTGGACCTCTGTGGAGTTCCTTTAAAACTGAAGATCAAGTCTAAATTCTTACCTTTTTTAACTGTGTCATAAGTTTGAATATACGTGTAAAGCCTAGCATATTTTCTAGAAGTGTGTCCTCATGTTGTCTCAGATCATTTTTCTGTAATTCCTCTAACTCCTGTCTCTTCTCTAAACTTATTCTCTCTATCTCTATCTGAAATATTATTTAATAATCATATCATATTTGTAGTTTTCTCACATGATTTCAGGTTAATTTAAAGGCCTATTAAGACCCTGGTTTTCTCATATGATTTCAGGTTAATTGACAGGCCCATTCTAAGACCCTGGTTTTATCATAATATTATGATTTCAGGTTAATTTAAAGGCTCATTAAGACCCTGGTTTTCTCATATAATTTCAGGTTAATTTAAAGGCTCATTCTAAGACCCTGGTTTTATCATATGATTTCAGGTTAATGTAAAGACCCATTAAAACCCTGGTTTTCTCATATAATTTCAGGTTAATTAAAAGGTTCATTAAGATCCTGGTTTTCTCATATGATTTCAGGCTTATTTAAAGGCTCATTAAGATCCTGGTTTTCTCATATAATTTCAGGTTAATTTAAAGGCTCATTGAGACCCTGGTTTTCTCATGATTTCAGGTTAATTTAAAGGCCCATTAAGAGGATTGTTTTCTTATACAATTTTAGGTTAATTTAAAGGCTCATTAAGACCGTTGATTTCTTATATGATTTCAGGTTAATTTAAAGGCTCATTAAGATCCTGGTTTTCTCATATAATTTCAGGTTAATTTAAAGGCTCATTAAGATCCTGGTTTTCTCATATAATTTCAGGTTAATTTAAAGGCTCATTGAGACCCTGGTTTTCTCATATAATTTCAGGTTAATTTAAAGGCTCATTAAGATCCTGGTTTTCTCATATGATTTCAGGCTAATTTAAAGGCCCATTTTAGTAAGCTGCCCAAAGATACTATTTCTTTAATTTCCCAAAAGCTTTTTAATATTAAGTGTACTGTATTAGTTTCCAAAAAGCTTCTCATTGGAAATATATTGGTGCAAGTTAAAAATATCAGAAAACCTGAAAACCCTAAATCTAGTATTATTTTAATTGGTTTTATATAGAAAAAGTAAGCTTTTTAGAGAGAAAAAAAACTGGTACACAAGTTAATATCTCTGGATCATGCTTCGCTTTTTTACTGCTTGCCATTAATTATCTTTTAGTGATGAAGTATTGTGTGCAGAAGTCTAAATATCACTTACTTTACACTTTTCTACCTGTACTTTTATGATAAATCATTTCAATATCAGAACTACTTTTGTATACAACTGGCAATTGCTGACACATGGGTGAGTAAAATAGCTCACCCAAATCTTCAAATTGTCAAACTAAAAAGCTTAATAAAAAAATCATTTAGGTAAGTAAACACAGGGAAGAAACACATACACATTTTTGCTCTGTATTTAAAGTAGTCCAGATTGCTGGGAATCTTCCTTTTAGTTCTGTACTTAAAATATACATAGGTATTCTCTTCATCTCTGAAAATAAAGAAAGAAAAAAAACAAGTGACAAGGTATTATCATAAAACCTGGTTTTCTAAGAATACCTTTAAAATGAAATATTGTTGATAAATGAAGTATGCTTGGGAAGAATTCATTAGAAAGATTATTCAACTGTCCATGTACCTTGTTTTTCTAAAATCATCACTTTGATATCTTCTTCATCAACAAACCATTTCGCAACTTTTGAACATATCTGTTCTATATTCTTCTCATCTAAATTTCTGCAAATAATAATTCAATAAAATTCAATGCTCCATATTTCAGTGCCGTTATATTTTTCTGATTCTCCAAGAAAATTAATTGGTTTCAAAAACCCTTTATTCCAATACCTGCCATATTTCTTATTGTTCATCAACTTCCTCCAATTGATTATCAGTAAATTGTGTACATGTAAGTTTCAGAAATTAAATGCTCGATGATATGATTGACAAATTTCGAAAAATCGCACAGAAAGTCGCTACAGAAACACCATTTAGAGTGACATATGCTTCAAGTGGGGATATAATAGGATCACTGTGAACAGAGCGTGGCTAAAAACAAGGAGTTATTAAGACAGTCTCACTTGTACTTAAAATGCATCCATTATTTAAAATAAAATTGAAGGCTACAGCAATGCAAATAATCAAGGTTGGACAATATGTCTTTGAATCAGAACTTGAGATATAAAGATCCTTCCAACAGAAGAAAATATGTATCAACTTTTTTCCTATGTTCATCTTATCAAACTTAAGAAAACAAGTATTAAATTTTAAACTTACCTTTCTAACCCAGCAAACATGGCTTTGCTAGCCATATGGTCCCTAATGTCTTCCTCCTGCTTGCCATTCATGTATGAAACTCCCTCATATATAAACTGTGTGAATATAAATAATAAACTATATAAAATAATAATAAAAAGGTGATGACAGGTGAACTTAGGCAGGGCTTATAAGCTACTGAGTAATCTTAACTGACTAATAGCCAGTCAATTGATTACATGGGATTTGAACCCAAAGAAGTAAGGGGCAAGTGATTTGATGGCGGCAACTTTAAATACTTGGCCACAGAGATTTGACAAAAACAAGTAAGTGGGTTTTTTTTGTTTTTTGGTTGGGTTTCACTTCGCACCAACACTGTATAGGTCATATGGCCACTTTCCAGCTTTACTGCTGGAGTCTAAGATCTCAGATGCAAGTCTGTACATTATTTCAGGCACAAACAGGCACCCGAGTAGAACCACCCACATTCCTTAAGCTTGCTGGATAACTTTCTTACATGTAGAAATAATGACGCTTGAGAAGCAAATGGTTAGAAGAAGTCAACAATCTTAACTGCTCATCCACATATGACCCTGTTATGTACATCACAAACAATCATTAATTTATAGACAGCATATTATCATTCTTATCAGTTGACTCTCAATAAGTCAAAATCGCTTTACTCAAAATTCCGCGTAAGTCGAAGTATTTCTAAAGTCCCGTCAAATTTCCTTCTTTATCTTTGTATTTTAATTCCGCTTAGGTCAAATTTTGACTTACCGAGACTCCTGTTTAGTCGAAAAGAAAATTTGGTCCTGTCAATTAAAGTCCAACATATTTTCATCTCAATTAGTCGAATTGTGCAAACAGCCGACTGATCAAAGGTCAGCAACATCAAGGTGAGATGTTGTCTCTTGTAATACACACGTTCCTAAAAATTTTAATTGTCGGTCATCATGTATTATAAACACGTCGTAAAAGTGGCTTTAATCGGTTTCAGGACTTAATTGGTTTTTACAGTTAGATAACAAAATTAAGACTCGTGCCAGTCTGACAGGTGTTAGTAATAAAATAGCCTAGGTATTGATGTGTGTTATCAACGTAAATGACATTTGTATAATTAATGTTCCGTCATATTGCATACATTAATATGTACTTCCGGTTCACGATAGTTGCTACTTTCGTTTTTGTCCGATGATCAATTCACTTCTAATGTAAGATAAATTGTTGTTGAAATAAAAGTGTTATTGTGCTTTTATTGTAATGATATGTCATGAGTGTTTATTATAAACATGTGCTTTACTGATGAATACTGACAAACTTGCATTTATGTCATTGCTACGAATGTTTGTGTTTATGTTTCACTATTTATATACATGTATTAAATTATATATTTTTGTTCATAATTTGTAGTTGAAAGTGGTTTACCGTCATTTCAACGGTTAAATATTGTAGCATTGCCGCTATCAGCAATAATAAACCTACTTCTTTGTACTTTAAATCAGGCACATGTATATACATGTACGAATGTCAATGTAATGGCGACAGATCCACCTTACTCGAATTCCGTTTCTCTCGAAGTAAAATGCCCAGTCCCTTGGATTTCGAGTTACCGAGAGTCAACTTTGTATTTAAACAAAAGTCTTAGAAAGTGGAAACAAAATATCCAAACATATTATTATTTCAGGAACAAACCTTGTTAAAATCAAAATCATAGGAGCACAAAAACTTTAAACTGGAGGCCTGAAAAAAAACAACATTGCAAATATATAGAAATACATATGATTACTTAGATAATAAGTGCTGGTTTTTTGTTAATTTCATTTAGACTTTTGTTTTATGTAAACAAGAGGGCCATGATGGCCCTGAGGTCGCTCACCTGTATATAGGCCCCCACCCCCGGGCCAATTTTTACCCGAGGGCTTTTATTTGTTTATTTGAACAGACTTGGTAGACACCCATAAGAAGATGTTTCATGCTAAAAATTGGCTTTTTTAAAAGAAGATTTTTAAAGTTTTTACTATACACATATAGTTAAAAACAATGTCACCCCTGGGGCAGGGCCAGTTTTGACCCCCGGGCATTTATTTTAACAAACTTTGTAGATATTTACTTAAAGATGTTTCATGCTTAATATCTAAACTCTAGCTATTTGGGTTTTTCCAAAGAGGATTTTTAAGTTTTTGCTATACAGATATAAGGAAAATCAATGACCCCCCCCTGGGCGGGGCCAGTTTTGACCCCAGGGCTTTTATTTGAACATACTTGGTAGACACCCATTAGAACATGTTTCATGCTAAATATCTTAGCTCTAGCTCTTTGAGTTCTTTAAAAGAAGATTTTTTAAGTTTTTACTATATTCATATAGGGAAAATCAATGACCCCCTGGGTCGGGGCCAATTTTGACCCCAGAGCTTTTATTTGAACAAACTTGGTAGACACTCATTAGAAGATGTTTCATGCTAAATATCTTAGCTCTAGCTCTTTGGGTTCTTTAAAAGAAGATTTTTTAAGTTTTTCCTATATGCATATAGGGAAAATCAATGACCCCCGGGGCGGGGCCAATTTAGACCCCAGGGCTTTAATTTGAACAAACTTGGTAGAAACTCACTAGAAGATGTTTCATGCTTAATATCTTAGCTCTAGCTTTTTGGGTTCTTTAAAAGAAGAGTTTTTAAGTTTTTACTATATGCATATAGGGAAAATCTATGACCCCCTGGGGCGGGGTCAATTTTGACCCCAGGGCTTTTATTTGAACAAACTTGGTAGACATTCACTAGAAGATGTTTCATGCCAAATATCTAAGCTCTAGCTCTTATGGTTCTTTAAAAGAAGATTTTTTAAGTTTTTACTATATGCATATAGTGAAAATCAATGACCCCCAGGGCGGGGCCAATTTTGACCCCAGGGCTTTAATTTGAACAAACTTGGTAGACACTCACTAGAAGATGTTTCATGCTTAATATCTTAGCTCTAGCTCTTTGGGTTGTTTAAAAGAAGATTTTTAAGTTTTTACTATATGCATATAGGGAAAATCAATGACCCCCTGGGTCGGGGCCAATTTTGACCCCAGGGCTTTTATTTGAACAAACTTGGTAGACATTCACTAGAAGATGTTTCATGCCAAATATCTAAGCTCTAGCTCTTACGGTTCTTTAAAAGAAGATTTTTTAAGTTTTTACTATATGCATATAGGGAAAATCAATGACCCCGAGGGGCGGGGCCAATTTTGACCCCAAGGCTTTTATTTGAACAAACTTGGTAGACACTCACTAGAAGATGTTTCATGCCAAATATCTAAGCTCTAGCTCTTATGGTTTTTTAAAAGAAGATATTTAAAGTTTTTTCTTTTGGTTGCCATGGCAACCAGAGTTCTGCATGGAATTAAATTCTTTGAACAATTTTTAAAGGTGACCACCAAAGAACATTCCTGTGAAGTTTGGATGAAATTGGCTCAGTGGTTTATGAGGAGATGTCATTTAAAGCAAAAGTTTACGAACGAACGGACGGACGACGGACGGACTACGGACGGACGCTGGACGAAAAGCGATCACAAAAGCTCACCCTGTCACTTTGTGACAGGTGAGCTAAAAATAAGTGGAAGACAACTATAGTGATACTGACAAACAGAATTAAAACCCCTTTCATAACCCCCCTTCAAGAGTAACATAATTTCCCTTCCTAGTTTTGAAAGGGGTATCAAAGGCCACTAAATGAAATTTACAAAAGTGCTATCACAGTCTAAAGCCCCATTGTGAAATTGAAGTTTTTCTTAAAGGCACATTAAGTCTGAGAAATGAGCATTTTATTTTTCTTTCTAATAAGAATAGGCAGATGTGCGTTTTATAATGTTGTAATAAAATATCTTAAACATATAAGATGCTTATCAAAGAAATCATGTTTATTGTTTAGAAAATATCACTGAATGAGAAATAATTTGTAATAAAGGTAGCAAAATGTAAACATATTGGGTTTTTGACTTCAATACAAAATACGAAAATCCCGAAAACTGTACTTTTGCCAGAACACAAATGAAGCAAGATATGACTCAGTTATGTGACCATTGAGTTACTTTAATAAACTGAATAGGCGACAATAATAAAAAACAAGAGGGCCATGATGGCCCTGAGGTCGCTCACCTGTATATAGCCCCCCCCCCCCCGGGCCAATTTTTACCCAAGGGCTTTTATTTGTTTATTTGAACAGACTTGGTAGACACCCATAAGAAGATGTTTCATGCAAAACATCTAAGTTCTAGCTCATTGGGTTTTTTAAAAGAAGATTTTTAAAGTTTTTACTATACACATATAGTTAAAAACAATGACACCCCTGGGGCAGGGCCAGTTTTGACCCCCGGGCATTTATTTTAACAAACTTTGTAGATATTTACTTCAAGATGTTTCATGCTTAATATCTAAACTCTAGCTATTTGGGTTTTTTCAAAGAAGATTTTTAAGTTTTTGCTATACACATATAAAGAAAATCAATGACCCCCCGGGCGGGGCCAGTTTTGACCCCAGGGCTTTTATTTGAACATTCTTGGTAGACACCCATTAGAACATGTTTCATGCTAAATATCTTAGCTCTAGCTCTTTGAGTTCTTTAAAAGAAGATTTTTTTAAGTTTTTACTATATGCATATAGGGAAAATCAATGACCCCCTGGGGCGGGGCCAATTTTGACCCCAGGGCTTTTATTTGACCAAACTTGGTAGACACTCATTAGAAGATGTTTCATGCTAAATATCTTAGCTTTAGCTCTTTGGGTTCTTTAAAAGAAGATTTTTTAAGTTTTTACTATATGCATATAGGGAAAATCTATGACCCCCTGGGGCGGGGTCAATTTTGACCGCAGGGCTTTTATTTGAACATACTTGGTAGACACTCACTAGAAGACATTTCATGCCAAATATCTAAGCTCTAGCTCTTATGGTTTTTTAAAAGAAGATTTTTTAAGTTTTTACTATATGCATATAGGGAAAATCAATGACCCCCCGGGGCGGGCCAATTTTGACCCCAGGGCTTTTATTTGAACAAACTTGGTAGACACTCACTAGAAGATGTTTCATGCTTAATATCTTAGCTCTAGCTCTTTGGGTTCTTTAAAAGAAGATTTTTTAAGTTTTTAAAATATGCATATAGGGAAAATCAATGACCCCCTGGGGGGGCCAATTTTGACCCGAGGGCTTTTATTTGAACAAACTTGGTAAACATTCACTAGAAGATGTTTCATGCCAAATATCTAAGCTCTAGCTTTTATGGTTCTTTAAAAGAAGATTTTTTAAGATTTTACTATATGCATATAGGGAAAATCAATGACCCCCTGGGGCGGGGCCAATTTTGACCCCAGGGCTTTTATTTGAACAAACTTGGTAGACACTCACTAGAAGATGTTTCATGCCAAATATCTAAGCTCTAGCTCTTAGGGTTGTTTAAAAGAAGATATTTAAAGATTTTTCTTTCGGTTGCCATGGCAACCAGAGTTCTGCATGGAATTAAATTCTTTGAACAATTTTTAAAGGTGACCACCAAAGGAACATTCCTGTGAAGTTTGGATGAAATTTGCTCAGTGGTTTATGAGGAGATGTCATTTAAAGCAAAAGTTTACGGACGGACGACGGACGGACGGACGGACATCCGGCCGAAATGGAACAAGGGACCCTTTCTTTTGTTATTTTCTTTTGTTTAATAGAGGGCCAATGGCCCCTTACTCTATTTTTACGGAATGAACTCTATTGTTCTCCTTTGTTCTGTTTACAGTTAGATGGCCCCCTATCCCTATCCGGTAGGGCGGACAGACAACGGACGGCGGACGAAAAGCGATCACAAAAGCTCACCCTGTCACTTTGTGACAGATGAGCTAAAAAATTGAAAAAAAATTATAGCAATTATTAAGGCTTTATTGGCCTTTAAGTCAGCCTCCTTTACCACTCAGCCATGAAGCCCCTACCTTACAGTTTATGATCATACATGCCATAACGTCCCGGACAGTCACCTGATTTCAAGAATGGTCAGTGACGTTCGGGTATAATCACTGATTTTCATCTATTTGGCATGTTTATTATAATTGATTAGATGTTAGACCTGTACATAAAACAACAAGTTAATACCTGACACACAAATCTCTCATCTACAGGTCCGAATGTTGGTGGATACAGGTAAAAATTGTAGGTTTTTGCTTCATACCTGAAAAAAAACAAAAAAAAAATTATTTTTCCAATGTTCTTGCCGGAAATTCGTCACAAACACTGTAATGATGGATTTACTTTGACTTTCTAGCAATGCTGGTTGAGAAAGATCACAAAATGTCCCACTGGGTGTTATTTTAGACACAAAAAGGCATATTGGTAGAACCTCTAATCTTGTTATAGCTGGCCAACAGTTTCTTCACATGGAAAATAAAGTATGAGAGTACCAGGTGTGTTTAGTAAAACACAACTAATATTCCCAATCCGATAGTAACTGATAGTTAACGATCATGTCTCTAAAATACAGAGAGGTAATGGATTATGACGAAGAATAGAAACCCTGTATGCATTATGCAAATTATGTTTTCATAAACCTATAAAATTAATACTGGTTTAACAACAGCCACACTAATTTAAGAAGTTACTAAGCTTTTTTGTTGAAAACACTGTTTCTGTAAGGTAGTGATACAGTAACACTCTAACATTACTATATTACTATACCATCATGTTTGTTTACATACCTGTTTTCATCACTAACTTTGGAAAATATAGATAATCCTGAAAAAAATCATACATGTATTTGATAACAATGGAAGAAAATAAGGCAACAGCAGTAAATATAATTTATGTAAAAAGACCTAATTTAATGTAAAATCAACAAAAATCATTGTTCTATTCATTAAGGCATCAGATGAAATTTCAGACTTTTTTCAATAAAAATGGCAAAACTGGAACCAGTTAAGTAGCAATTGCTATTCACCATACACAGTATGCGAAAACCCAATGAAACAATGAGCAACAATAAGCCATTTATAAAAGAAAAGGTATATGAAATCTTATAAAGCAGTGCATCTCGTGTTCCATGCTAATTTCAAAGACACAGTTCACACAAATCACCTTAACTCTTTCTGTATGCAAAAATAGACACTTCTCCATCAATAAGAGTAGAAATATACAAGTAGGGAAGGGAAGACACTAAATTCAGCAATATTTAAGATGAAAGTCATATGTACATGCAAAAAAATTAAATGGAACATAAAAGATGTAAATTAAATAATTTTTTTATAAACTTAAAAACATACAGGGGGAAAAATAGCCAGAATCATCACTGGTCAAATCTTAAAATATTTACAAAACCAGTTCATGAAAATAATAAAGATACACAATAAAGTAATCCATCATTTGTTACAACTTGTATTCTATACAACTTAAGACTTTGGAATGCAAAAGTCTGGTAAATCATCTGATAACCAGAGGGCAAAATCCACTAAAATTTCTCAGACAGTGAGATCTGCTCTTAGTGCATTAACCTCATTAAGATAGAGCACATATAGTCCAAGAGATGGCGGGGTTTTATTGCAATTTACCGTATCACCAAAAGAAACATTATCATTATAAAGCATATTGTTTGTAGTCTCTAAAAACTCAATTCTTAAGTTACGCAACCCGGGCAAAAGTACAAAAATTCAAGATGGCCGCCAATATGGTCGCCATAAATTACAAAATACCATATAATGTTTGTTTCTTGATTTTTTACATACGGATTTTGTACAAAGTAGTTTCAATTGCACAATATCAGATAAAATATGGCTGATTTATGATTCAATCAAGTAAAAATAACAATTATATGGCAAACATTAAAATTATCACTATCAATTTACCAAAAAAGTTGTAAAAAATAGCATTTTTTGACAATATGATGACTTTCGTTTTTCCGTATTTACACAATATAAACGAAAATGCATTTAAAATGTGTGTACTTTATAAATTTAACATAGATATACAAGTTAAGCATAAAAAAATTATTTTCTGGGCATTTATGCCGTAAGAGTAGATTTTTAAAAGTGGGTGGGGTAATATTACCGAAAAAGAAATTTAAATTACAATGTTCCCATAACTTGCCTTTACTTTATAATTTCTGTTTAATGTATAGGAAATTGTGTTTTAATTGTATGTTCTTTATCATTTGAACATGTTTTGATAAGTTAAGCATAAAAATTCATTACCTGACGCATTTATAACAGAAAAGTACAGCTTCAAAAGTGGGTGGGGTAAAATAACCCCCAATAAAGCGCGTTAAAAATTAATAAGCTCCTAAAACTTGCCCTTATTTTACAATTTAAGTGCAATAATCATATATTAATTGAATTTTGTGGTAAGATATATAAATATGTATTACATTTAAGAAGAAAAGAAACATCATGTCATAGCAACCTTTAAGATTATCACAATTAACCAAAAATTTAATAGGTAAAAAAAACACAGTTTTTGCATTTTGTTGCCTTTTAGTATATCTTCTTGACACAAAGTAGAAGAATTGTGCTACAGTTGTTTTAGTTGATTATAGCTGTAATAGATTGGCATGAAAATCATTACAAGAGAATGTATCACAGAGGGGAAAAAATGGGTCCGACATAACACTTTAAAAATTAAAGAGCTAACAGAACATGCTTTTACTTTTTAATGTTTAATAGTCATGTTTTGCCATTTTCTGACAATTAATATCAATAAATTATGTTAACGATGTTCCTAGCATAGTAATATTTTGGTAAAACACTTATATTGCAGATATTTTTGTGAAATCTACGAAATTCTTACTGAATATTTTTGAATAAAAAAGTTTGGAAAGATGCACTCCCTATTGTTGGTCAAGTTAATATGGTCCTTACTAAAAAGCGCCAGTTATAATGACGTTATGTATTTACACTGTGTTTATCTATAGTGTATGGAGTGAAAACTTATCAAATCTTGTATGTGTGTACTCAAAAAGATGTTTTTTATGGTAAAAAAGAGGCTGTATAGCAAATACAATTATTTTCAAATTCCAGTAGATAAATTCTGTAATCAATTAAGAAAAAAACATCATTTAAATGTTTTATTTATCATAATTAATTCACACAAAAATGTATAAAAACAACATACTAGTATTTTGGTAACTTTTGTTTCATCTTTGTAACATAAAATAGATGTAACTGTGTTTTAATTGAAATTGTCGCGAGGCATGAGTCTCAGAAAAGAAGCACTAAAAAGTGTGTGGGATAAAATTGAACTTAGACCTGAAGACATCACGATGCTTTTACAACATACTCTTATGGACAGAAACAGTTTTTATTACGTTCTTTCTACAAAAAAAATGTAATTTCATTAATTTTGATACATATTTATAACACCTGTAATTGATTATGTTTTCCTTAAAGGCCTATTATGCCTCAGAAAAGCTTCCTTTCTCTAAAGCTTTTTTAATTTTGGTATAGTTTTATGTTATCGGCATATCTTTACTCACTGGCCAATCACTTGAACTATTTTATCTGTTACGTTTTGGCAATACGTATAGTTTTTGTGAATAAGTAGTTTGTATGGAAGGAAGTTAAAGTACTACTTTGCTTACATTTTGCTACATTTACTACAAAGTATTTTAGATTTATTGCTATTTTATTCAGGTAACAAGCATATTACATTCTCTTTAACCGTTATTTAATTTATTTGTTTTTTAGGCATAATGTGCCTTTGATAAAGGTAAGAAATTTTGCATCATAATTAAAATTAAGAAAGAGTGCATTAAATACATCAACATTCTGGAAACAAAGTGATCCCTCGGAAGCATTAATCACAACAAATTAACATAAGAATTGCAGACTCGGTTTGATTGAGTCTGTACATGAGGGATAATGAATAAGTGCAACATCCCTCACGCCCCCCTAGCACCGGCTTGAGCGGTACTCAATTCTCAACACTTTATAGTGTTGGCATCAATGATCCCGAAGGACCAGAAAATATAACAACACTGAAGTGAAGTACGGGGCAACTTTTTACGGCTGCCACACGGCACATAACACCTGCTGTTGTGAAGTACAAAATTCTGGAAACAAAGTGATCCCTTGGAAGCATTAATCACAACAAAATAACATAAGAATTGCAGACTCGGTTTGATTGAGTCTGTACATGAGGGATAATGAATAAGTGCAACATCAAAAGACACACTTATATATTAATCAAGAACATGATGTCTGTGAAATGCATTTTGTGAGAGTGTAGTTGTGAAATATGATATAAACACATCATCATTTTTTAATTTGACAAAGGTAAGAAGAATTGTCATTTATAAAATTAGCAATCATATATGAATAAGTTTAGCAAAAGTTGTGAATGTTACTGCACACAAAACATCCAAATAGTTAAAACATGTTTAAGCTATCAATACTTGTCATAGAAATACATACATCTTGAAATTATGCACTAATACATTCTGTACAAAAGTCGATTTAAAAGCAACAATTTTCACATAAAGCAACCGACCATCATTTAGTTGTAATTTACATTTATAAGTACATAGTCGCTGTTTCCTTCAGATCCACTAGCTATGTTATGTGTTGTCTCACTATTTAGCAGAAATAAGATTTTAAATGTCAGTATTTTGTGAGTGCTTCAAAATCACACTGAGCACTGACGGTGTAGATGGCAAAAATGATGCATCAGCTCCTGACAGTTTGATCAATCTAGGATGTTATATTTTTGATCCTAGAAAATCTTTCAGCACAATAACATTGCTGTGTTGCATAGTTTTAGTTTTTTTCTTTTTGACTTTTTTCCCCGTTGGGTGGTTCTAGTATTCCTTCGTGAATACTGAATATCACCCTTAAGGATGTGTTGCCTGACTTAAGATTTCTCCTTGGTGGCTTTTATCTGATATTAAGACTTCATAACCCTATTTTAAAAAGTTCAATTATCTAGTTCAACATAATTTTCATATTTAGGCTACACGCATTATTTTTTACTTGGGTCCATATACTGTTTTTGATGGAGTGGCGCAATTGTTACATTGAAGATCCCTTGATTACCGTCTTATGAACTTGTCTACGGATGTTTAAAATTTTAAGTTTCACTTTTATAATTTCACTACATTTTTGTTTAAATACTGAATTTTGCTTGGAGGACGTTGTTAGAAGCTTGCATATATCACTGCTGTCCAAAAAATAGGCATAAAAGAAACGAGCGTAAGTGTGCCATATTGTGTATTCTTAAAGCTTTCCGTTTTTCATTCTATTTGCTTGAACGATTTCGAGCATATTTATTCTAAACAATGCTAGTCTGGCATAAGTTACAGGTGTGAATAGGGAAAAAATACAATCCCTAAAGAACTTCCAATAAACAGTAAAATTGAAAATGTTGCAGACTTGGTTTATTGAGCCTGTTCATGGATGGTACTGAATAGTGCAAACTACCGTCCACAACCCCAAGCACCTCCTCAAGGATAATTCAACCTTTAGCATGAAATAGTAAAATTTGAATTTTGAAACATTCGCAGATGTGTTAATACGGAGGTCATCATGGAAAGCTCAAAATGACTTTTTTCAGCCAGTACATTAAAAGTGGCGTATGGTCCCCTAATTATCAGGATGTGTTAATGAGAAAACAATGGGCGAAACATAAATTTGGTGTTCTATAACAAATGTTTTGGTCTTATTTCGGCTTTCGATCCACCTAACCGGATTTCCTTGATAATTAAGTAGCAAATTTCTGAGCAAGTGACCCCTGTTTACCTCACATGATATTTGAATAAGCGATGAGAGATTTATTTTCAAAAAGAAATTTACTTTGTCGGAGGATGAAGCAAGTGACTTCTTCATTTCTTATTGCTCTCTCATTGAGCTAGGCAGGCATACTACAGATGGACATAGCGACTGACTTAATTATATGGCATTTATTAACCTTCTTTTGTTGTTGTTATCATGCCCTAAATCTATCTATGAAAACTATGCTTGCATATTACCTGCATAGCAAGAAACCTAAGCTCTCAGATTATATTGTATACATTTGGAAACATTGTCATAATTATAGTAAAGTTTACATCTTGAGGTCGATTATCCATTTAATAAGCAGCATTTTTACGCATAATATTTCCAAAATCTATCAAAGATTTACAAATTTATGTACAAATTATGACAATTGACAATTATGACCTTAACCTTTGAGCCAGAGACTTGATTATTTACTTTTCGACCTTAAAATGCAACACATCTGTGCAACTCAGAATTGTTGACCAGACAAGAGTATCAACGCATAAAATGAAAAATTAAGAGGTGACTTTGAGCAACACATCTTGTTTTGGCGTGATACACATCAGATCAATGTAAAACAAATTATGCATAATTGTAAAAAAATCATCCATGAATGACAATGTCGTTGGAAAGACAACGCCATCTATTAATCATATTATGAATATGGAAGTACAAGTGTGACTTGATTTTTGAATGTCACACATTAATATAATGTCAAAAAACATTTTTATTAATTTATTTCAAAAATCAATCCAGGAATGACATAATTATTGACTTGACATGACCATCAGTGCACAATTTATGTATGCAAAATATGCAAAGGTATGGACCACACTCAAAGTAAGGAATATGGAAGAAGGGATGGCACTGTACAAATAATAATTCCTCTCAATTTTTTGTAGGAGAGGGGCATAAAATGCTGCTTTTATTTTAAGTATTGAAATTGACTGTTTTCTTTTGTGCAGAAATTGTGTTTTAAATTTAATTGATATGTCCATTAAGGCTTAAATACCTTTTGCTATCCACTATTGCAATTTTCTATGACTGTGATTTTATTCAGTATGATATTTGCACAACATTCATTAATAAATGCTCCTTTTACCAATGACAATAACCATTTCTCTTTTCTTTCATGTTTAAGATAATAAAATAGTCAAAGTTAAAATGATACTGATGACGTGTCAACCAAAACTATTTTACAAATTTTGCTGAAAGAACATTATAAAAAAATCTTTTCAAAAAAGTATTTATCTAGTATACAATATTTTTGTTTTCAAAACATATAAAATGCCATCACATAATTGTTGGACATATATTATAATAGAACAAAAGAAGCAAGTTCATTATATTTAATGGTTGAGGTGTTATTTTTCCCCACCGAGTTTTAAAATTCTAAGATATATGATAAGTTAACTACTTTTAATGACTTGTCAAACTATAAACAACTGATAAAAGACAGACAACTATGACATAATTTCATTCTAATTTTAAATTGCGATGTCATGATGTTTCTTTCTTCTTTAATGTAATACAATTTTTATATTTCTTATCACAAAATTCAATTACATGATAAAAACACTAAAATTGTAAAGTACAGGCAAGTTTTAGAAGCTTAATAATTTTGAACTTTTTTTCTTCATTTTTTTCCCCCTCTTTTTTTCTCGGTTATTTTACCCCACCCACTTTTAAAGCTGTACTCACCTGTGATAAATGATAAGGTAAAGAAGTTTTATGCTAAACTTATCAAGAAATGTTCAAATGACAAATAACATACAATTTAAACACAATATCCTATACATTAAACTGAAATTATAATGTAAATGCATGTTTTGGGAACATTGTAATTTTGAATATTTTTTCGGTAATTTTACCCCACCCACTTTTGAAGCTCTACTCTTACATCATAAATACTCAGATAATGATTTTTTATGCTTAACTTGTCTAGCTATGTTAAATTGATAAAGTACACACAATTTCAATGCAATTCCATTTATATTGTTTTAATACGGAAAAACGAAAGTCATCATATTGTCAAAAAATGCTATTTTTTACCACTTTTTAGGTAAATTGATAGTGATAATTTTAAAGTTTGCCATATAATTGTCATTTTTGCTTGATTGAATCATAAAGTAGGCATATTTTACCTGATATTGTGCAATTAAAACTACATTGTACAAAATCCGTATGTAAAAAATCAAGAAACAAAAATTATGTGGTATTTTGTAATTTTTGGCGGCCATATTGGCGGCCATCTTGAATTTTCATATTTTTGCCCGGGCTGCGTAACTTAAGAAATGGGTTTTTAGAAACTACAAACAATATACTTTATTATGGCAATGTTTCTTTTGGTGATACGGTAAATTGCAATAAAACCCCGCCATCTCTTGGACTAATACAATATACTTTGATAATGGGTTACCAATTTAAAACCTTTCATACCTAACTGACAAATGGTGATTTGTGTTATAGTTTTCCTCAAGTTTTGGTACCTTTCAGCCCCATCATCAAACAATCTAAAATATATAAAAGAACATTATTTATTTCCTTACTAAGTAACCTATTCATGATAGTACTGTTCTACATTCAAATACCTGCTAGAGACTATATTGGGGGGTTGATTGCAAAACTGTTGCATGTCCTTCTTTATTTTATACAAGTTACTACAGTTTTGTGGTCAACCTATGATATCTGAATAAAGACTGCATGTACTACATTTGTATGTACTTTCAAATCAAAAACACATCACACATTACAACATCATTATATTCAATCAATTGCAAAAAACATTCAAAAAAAGGTTATTTTAATTTCTAAATAACTGTAAATAAATAAATTGATATACATGAATACCGTTCTAATTGATGATATTCATTTGTAAACAGCAATGATATATTTTTATTTTATAGATTTATACATTGCTACAGTAGATGAATTCAGTCTAATCTTAACAATGTTAACATTTCAAATAAAAAATTCAAAATATGAAATGACTGACATTAGGGAACAGGTGAATAGATTCAGTTGCCACAAATGAGGTAAAGGTTAGTTATGACCATGCTATTTCAATGCCGCAAACCAGTTAAATTTCACATTTATTTCACTATAAATACTCTGTATTTTGCTTGAAAAATATAAAGTGAAATAAAATAAACACAAACGATTTTCATCAACGTTTTCAAAATTGTTATTCTCAAAATGTTTCTGCAAACAGTAGACTTCACATCAGTTTTATTTTAACCGACTTTGATTTCAGCTGCTCATTAATCTTTCACCCAGTTAATTTAGTGTCAAGTGCTAAAAATACAAACTTAAAATGATCTAAGTTAATTAAGAAAAAAAACTAGTAATTTTTTAATATTTTATTTAATCTGGGGAAGTCCAAGACCAGTCCTTGATGACTTTGACTTACCTGGCTATCAACTAAGCATGTTAAATTATCTTAAAGTAGTTTGACTACACTGTACTATGCAATAAGATCTTGTGCTATATTTTGTATGGGCAATATCTGCCCATTTATGAAGCAAGATTTTATCCAGGAAAACAATATCTAAAAATCTAGCTTTGGCACAAACATATATTTTAGCTTATCTCAAAGATGTATATAAAAGGAATTAGTTCTAAATATAAATGAATACATGTACATAAACCTGTCTTTTCAGTTTCTTTTGCTGCAAAATGAAAATGTCACAACTATAGTCTTGATTGGTTTTCCGTGATTTTTAGATTTTAAACTCTAGCCTAGCCATAACAGATCAGCAAACTTACCAAAGAAATAACAGTTTCTGACATCTTCAACAATTTTTGGGTATTGTTCATTAAATTTGGGACAAAAAATAATCTTTTTTGTACCAGCTATAACTATACTCAATACCAAAAGCAACAGAAGAAACAGAATGATGGTTCAGATACATTGTAATTGGCCAATGAGCAACTTTTGAACAAACTTGGTAGACACCTATTTGGAGATGTTTCATGATAAATATCTAAGTTCTAGCTATAACAAGATTTTTTAAGTTTTTACTATACACATATAGGGAAAAACAATGCCCCCCCCCCCTTTGGGCGGGGCCAATTTTGTCTCCATGGCTTTTATTGAACAAACTTGGTAAACACTCACTAGAAGATAATTCATGCTTAATATCTAAGCTCTAGCTCTTTGGTTTTTTTAACAGAATATTTTTTAAGTTTTTACCATATACATATAAGGAAAATCAATGACCCCTGGGGCGGGGCCAATTTTAACCCAAGTGCCCTTATTTGAACAAACTTGGTAGACACCCATTAGAAGATGTTTCATGATAGGAAAAAAACAATGACCCCCTGGGGCAAGGCCAATTTTACCCCAGGGCTTTTATTTGAACAAAATTGGTAGACACCTACTAGAAGATGTTTCATGCTTAATTTCTAAGCTCTAGCTATTTTGTTGTTTTGTTTTTTTTTTAATTTTTTAAGTTTTTAATATATGCAAATAAGATAAATCAATGATTCCCTGATGCAGGGCTAATTTTTACCCCAGGGCTTTTATATGAACAAACTTGATAGACACCCACTAGAAGATGTTTCATGCTTACTATCTAAGCTCTAGCTATTTTTATAAATTTAAGCCCAGCAAATTCTAAATGGAAAAAAATAATTAATACTTTCAACTTACATCAACTGATAACACAACCTACTAGAGTCACACAAAATTCCTCTTCCATTATAGACCACATATACACCAATCATCCACAAAATATCAGCTACACAGCTGTTCCAGTAATGTCTATTAGTGACTACTACCCGATTTGTTTTACAAGGAAAACTAATGCAAAAATAAAAAAAGGCCCATTGCATGTAACTATAAACTACAGGTATTTAAAGAAATTCAATGCAGAAAACTTTTTAGTAGACTTATCAAATCAACCATGGTCATTAATTGATGTGTTAACAGAACCTGATGATGCCCTCGAGAGACACCTTCTATGATTTATTTCTAAAAGTTTTAGATTCTCACGCTCCATATAAACAAAAAAGGGTAAAACGAAAAAATCAAAATGATTGGTTCACAGATCATATAGCTAATGCAATAAAGGAACGAGATTTTGCAAAAAAGAAAAATAACATTGAGGAATACAAATACTGGAGATCGCAAGTAAAGGTGCTTTCTCACAGATCAAAAAAAGAATTCTTTAATCAAGAGATATCTTCAAACAACAAAAACCCTAAAAAGCTTTGGAAAAATCTAAAAGACTTGAGTGGAAAAGCCGAAAACCACCAAACTAATTACATTAATGATGACAGTGGAAATCCAGTCTATGACCCTAAACAGACAGCAGAAATATTTAATACATTTTTTTCAAATTTATTCAAAAATACAGAAAATATTACAACACTAACCAGTACAAATGAATATATACTCAAAGAAATGTTAAACAGCAAAATTGACCAAAATACACCAAAATTGATATTCCACCTATAGATCCAATCCAAGTCAAACAAGCATTAGATTCACTAGATGTTACAAAGGCTACTGGACTTGATGGCATTAGTGCTAAATTTTTAAACAAGAGAGCCATGATGGCCCTGAGGTCGCTCACCTGTATATAGGCCCCCCTCAACCCCCGGGCCAATTTTTACCCAAGGGCTTTTATTTGTTTATTTGAACAGACTTGGTAGACACCCATAAGAAGATGTTTCATGCTAAACATCTAAGTTCTAGCTCATTGGGTTTTTTAAAAGAAGATTTTTAAAGTTTTTACTATACACATATAGGGAAAATCAATGACCCCCGGGGCGGGGCCAATTTTGACCCGAGGGCTTTAATTTGAACAAACATTGTAGACACTCACTAGAAGATGTTTCATGCTTAATATCTTAGCTCTAGCTCTTTGGGTTCTTTAAAAGAAGATTTTTTAAGCTTTTACTATATGCATATAGGGAAAATCAATGACCCCCCTGGGGCGGGGCCAATTTTGACCCCAGGGCTTTTATTTGAACAAACTTGGTAGACATTCACTAGAAGATGTTTCATGCCAAATATCTAAGCTTTAACTCTTATGGTTCTTTAAAAGAAGATTTTTTAAGGTTTTACTATATGCATATAGGGAAAATCAATGACCCTCCGGCAGGGTCAATTTTGACCCTAGAGCTTTTATTTGAACATACTTGGTAGACATTCACTAGAAGATCTTTCATGCCAAATATCTAAGCTCTAGCTCTTATGGTTCTCTAAAAGAAGATTTTTAAGTTTTTACTATATGCATATAGGGAAAATCAATGACCCCCCTTGGGGCGGGGCCAATTTTGACCCCAGGGCTTTTATTTGAACAAACTTGGTAGACACTCACTAGAAGATGTTTCATGCTAAATATCTTAGCTCTAGCTCTTTGGGTTCTTTAAAAGAAGATTTTTTAAGTTTTTACTATATGCATATAGGGAAAATCAATGACCCCCTGGGGCGGGGCCAATTTTGACACCAGGGCTTTTATTTGAACAAACTTGGTAGACATTCACTAGAAGATCTTTCATGCCAAATATCTAAGCTCTAGCTCTTATGGTTCTTTAAAAGAAGATTTTTTAAGTTTTTACTATATGCATGTAGGGAAAATCAATGACCCCCCTTGGGGCAGGGTCAACTTTGACCCCGGGGCTTTTATTTGAACAAACTTGGTAGACACTCACTAGAAGATGTTTCATGCTAAATATCTTAGCTCTAGCTCTTTGGGTTCTTTAAAAGAAGATTTTTTAAGTTTTTACTATATGCATATAGGGAAAATCAATGACCCCCTGGGGCGGGGCCAATTTTGACACCAGGGCTTTTATTTGAACAAACTTGGTATACACCCACTAGGAGAAGTTTCATGCCAAATATCTAAGCTCTAGCTGTTAGGGTTGTTTAAAAGAAGATATTTAAAGATTTTTCTTTCGGTTGCCATGGCAACCAGAGTTCTGCATGGAATTAAATTCTTTGAACAATTTTTAAAGGTGACCACCAAAGGAACATTCCTGTGAAGTTTGGATGAAATTGGCTCAGTGGTTAATGAGGAGATATGAGGAGATGTCATTTAAAGCAAAAGTTTACGGACGGACGACGGACGGACGCCGGACGAAAAGCGATCACCAAAGCTCACCCTGTCACTTTGTGACAGGTGAGCTAAAAAAAACTGCATCCCCTGTTATATGTAGACCAATTTCTACTATTATCAATTTGAGTATCAAAACAGGTAAGTTTCCTGAAAAATTTAAACAGTCTAAGGTCACACCATTTTACAAAAAAGGACACAAATCAGATAAAAATAATTATAGACCTATATCTGTTCTTCCTATACTTTCTAAAATATTTGAAAAACATGTATCTGATCATTTCAAACAATTCTTAGAATTGTATAATTTCATTTTCAACACCCAATCAGGATTTAGAACAAAACATTCATGTGAAACTGCATTGACAAATGTTGTTGACAATTGGATCAAGGCAATAAATGATGGAAAGCTAGTTGGCACAATCTTTCTTGACTTGTCAAAGGCATTTGACCTTGTAAATCATAAGTTACTCATCCAAAAACTTCATTTTTATCAAATTTCTTCTTCTGCAATTACTTGGTTTACATCATATCTTGAAAATAGATCACAGAAGGTCAGTGTATCTGGCAACCTATCAAAATCAGCATCAGTTATATCAGGGGTACCTCAAGGTTCTGTCCTTGGACCTTTGCTTTTCATCATATATAAAAATGATCTACCACTCCATTTGAAAACCTCAGAGGCAGATCTTTTTGCTGATGACACTACTCTTACAGCAGCAGGTCTCT